CTTTTTTGCTGTGAAAACGCATTTAAATTTTCACTGTAAATTATGCTCAACATCTGATTTTTTGACGGGTTTTTGAAGTTTTGCCAAAGTTTTGTGTGTAAGTATACTGACTATAAATAGGGGACCTTATCCCTGCAGAATATATGCTGCCTCTGTAGGCGTCGTCATTGCCTATTAAAAAAAAAAAAACACATTTTACAAATGACAATACAATCTAAAATGCTTGCTGTGTAGAAAAGATAATCAAGTATATGTCGTAGACAAAGGATTGTACGTAATTTAAACAAGTTGGATCTAGACCACTGATAATTTCGCGATGTACCATTGACATACATTCAGGGAATCTACTTTTTGTTTTGAAGGGCCGGACTTGAAAACAAGTTGCACTCTTGATTAATCTGACGAAAGCTTTTCCCTCAGACATGCACTTCCCGACTTTAATCATAAAAACAAAATCAACAGAACCACCATAGATAAAAGACACATAAGGAAAAGACAATTTAAAAAATATATGTGGATCTTTCCATGAATAACAAACGGTTCCAATTTTTCGTCACCAGATGCGCATTTCGACAATCAATGTCTCTTCAGTGATGCTCGAGGCCAAAATAATTGAAAATCCAAAGCTTATAATAAAGATGAAGAGCTATAAATCAAAAGGACAAAAAGTATATCTAAAACCGGGCGAGGAATCAGAGCTTTGCACGAGGGAGATATATTCCTTAAATCAACTAAAATAAATTAATATAAATTATGTTATTATAGGGTCAAACTCAACGCTACCTGTTTGCACAGAGTTTAACCTTACAAATGAAATTTGAGTTTTATAAATGGTCCGTCAACGGTACGGAATGGTGAGTCAGTGACTGTTTGATAACTTCCATTTGCTGACCTATGGGTATCTTGGATTAATTGTCATTGATGATGCAAAACTCTTCAATCTTCATTCTGTCAACGTCGGTCAACTAGGAAGATGGGTGCGCAATTGGCTCTTCTTCGGACATTATAAATGGTTTTAAACATTCACAAACATGAAAACCATTGCTGGAAGCTGACCGTCTAATATACTAGATATATTCCCAGTGCATCATTTGATATTTCATGTCACATAGCGAAATTTCAGCACCTGTCTAGGATATGCAAAATGTTTTTAATTTGTCGCTCTGCTCGTAAAATCGCTCATCATTTACCTATATAACAGCCAAATGCAATTACATTCCTTGATCAATCCAGTTTACGCTAGCAGAAGATGTGTATAAAAATAGAAAATTGTCTGGCCAAATATATAGGAGAGATAGCAGATACTAAAGGGATATTCAAAATCATAAGTCGAAAACAAAGAGTTTTCTCAATTGAATTGTTTCATATTTTTCATGTCGGGGTCTTTTATAGCAGACTGTACGGTATGGGGTTTTCTCATTGTTGAAGGCCGTACGGTTGCCTATAATTGCTTACATCCACTTCATTTGAACTTTGGTGGATAGTTGTCTCATTGGCAATTATACCACATCTCCTTATTTTTATATTGACAACGCCATTGCAAAAATAGAAAAAAGACTAAAAGACAAACAAATCTACAAAACACACAATATGGAAAACTAAAGACTGAACACCATGATCCCTACCAAAAACCTGGGGTAATATCATGTGCTCTTCAAGGTAAAGCAGATCTTGCTTCACATGTGGCTACCCGTCGTGTTGCTCGTGCAAGTACAAAACCGAGGATAAGTCTAACTCGGTGATGTAAAATTCGAGAAAAACAGGACGGGATTGTGGTTACAATAGGAACAAATCCGTCATCATCTGTGAAATAGATATTCCATAGATATAAGAAGATGTGGTATGAGTGCCAATGAGACAACTCTCCATCCAAGTCGCAATTTGTAAAAGTAAACCATTATAGGTCAAAGTACGGCATGTTTGCATTCAAGAAAGGTCGACATACGCCAATGGCAAATTTGAAAGTGATTACGCGTGTGTGAATAAATTAAAGCAAGTAATAAGTTGCCTGATTGGATAATACAAATGACTACTTGGTACAATATACACGGAGAATACGTAAGCAACAAGAACAAGCTCCTCCTGTATTGATACTTCATTTTAATAAAGATTAACACCCAAAGTCATGTGACCGAATGAAGCTTACAATTGTCAGTCACCTTTTGCGTGTCCGTCAAAATATGACGAAAATATGAACCAAGAGTGACGTTTCCATCATTTGATCAGATATGATGTAAGGGCAAACTTATAAGCAAACAAATAATCAAAGAATATTAAACAAATCAAGAACTTTAAGCTTGATATCAGAAACAGTATTACTGTATTATTTAATATTTTTTTACATGAAGTTGTGTTTTAGCATCTGAAATATGAGTAAAAATGTGTTTTACTTCCAGATTTTCTCCATGATGAATTCAAAACACTCTTTTAATCCCATGTAAATATTCCTGTATCAAGTCAGGAATATTTTTCGTGGTGGTCTTTATTTATGTCTCACTGTTTAAAATTCTTTGGGAAATTTAGGGTCATGGTAGGTCTTGTAGTCTCTGTTAAACTTATTGACTAGTGAAAACTCGGGACAGTTTATAGTTTGATATATCGTTTTTCTTGTTATTGCGTAATACGGGTGCTGCTGTCTAATTGATGTAAAGACACCATCTATCTTTTTTATATTCAGTATAAATAATACTATTTGATTCCAGAATAATCTGGTTTTATGAACGTACAAATATATGCTGACAGAACATTAAAGCCTGATTTCAAAACGTAAAGTCAGACACCTTTAACATACAGCGTTGAAGATCATTGCACAACGAAATAATTATATAAATAATAGTATAGTCGTAATCAAAAACTCTATATTTGACAATTATTTATATATATGTTTCCTTTGATAATGAAGCATATGATTTTATGTCCATAATAAGGTGATTTGATGGTCCTAACACCAAATATATTACCATATTTATTGGTCTAGTGTCGCTTCTACTTATGATGAAGATAAATAGACATCTATTTATTAACATATTCATAAGTTTTGATGATTTTTGTGAACTAATGCATAACCTTTAATGCTGTAAGTTTTGGTCAAGATATAAATAAGACCCATGCTTACTTTTTTCGTCAGTCAGACAGTAAGCGGGTTTTGCCATAGTTAACTAAGGTAAGGACATTTCTTATTTTAGTTAAGTGGTCTGTGGGAATTTTATTTGTTTCAATATACAAGTATTTGTGTATAACAAAAAATGTAAAATATGAATATACTATTTCAGATGAAGTCAGTCAAAGATGTCATATGTCATATTGGGCATAAGTTGGAGAGATAGAAAATATTAAGAGATATATGAATAGCTTTTGTTATGCAAGCAACAATATGAACCTTTCATCTGGTGTGTGTTTGTATTTTGGGAGGGAGCATATTCTTAAATAAATTGTTAGATTTTAAATTTATAGAAAAAAAAAGTTTCAGAAGAAATCTTAAAAATAAATAGTTTGTTTCTACTGAAAATTAGGAAATTAAATAAACATTGATTGAAAAAATTATAGTTCCTGCATGTCATGGAAAAATTAAATTTTGTTTTATTATTTTTTAATTGAAAAAAATGTTCCGAAAAAAAACCAAACAACGATAACCCACCACTAAATAAACAAAGTCTGTATAATAAATGTAGCTACAGGCAAACATCTGGAGTTCGCTGAGGATAAGGATATTACATATGAATCAAAGGCGATGTGGGGGTTACGTTAATGGAATACATACATTTATAGACACCCAAAATAGTTAACTTCTGAAAAATCAATTTTTGTATTTTGTCGACGGTATTGCAAATGAAGTGTAATTAAGCATCACGGGTATAAAAACACGGTAGATAGTGTTAGCACCGAGAGTATTACAATCACTGTAGATAGGATGTCCAAGGGTTTTACGAAACCGGTAGATATATCATACTTGATACTGATATATTAGCAGATGATTTTTTTTAATAAATTCTAAGGTTATTTGTTCAGGTGTTCCTCAACTAAATTTGGTCATTATGGGTTTAATGCCATTTAACCAATTTGAAATTTAGTTTCGGTCACATTTAATGAGAAATGTATATTCAAAATGTGCACGTGGTTCGTTAAATTAATTTTTGTACCTGTTTTTATTACATTTTTAAAACCATTAACAGGTTTACAAGCTACGAGTAAGAAAATAACTAATCTTAACAAATGACTTTTTATGCAGCTTACACTGCTTTTAAAAAAATAATAAATTAAATAGTGATAAGTTTATAGAAGTACATATGGTCTTATCTTGTCTGTCGGTTTTCAAGAAGTTTTAAATATTTTTTTTTGTCGATTGTGACAATACATCCTTGGATCCTTGGATCCTATTGGTAATCATTAGAAGGATGAATTCATATATAATAGTATGTTTTTTTTAATATGTAAGGTTGTTGTTTCAGAGAATTATACAACATATTTCCATTTAAGACATTTTGCCCTTAAAATTTTTTTATGTTTGGATAGTCTCTTTGCATGTGCTCACAAATTTTTTCCAATTAAATATTTTTTTGCGAATTCTTTATAAACTGATTTTAATTTTTAATGTTGAAATTATATTTTTTACTAGAAAAATAATACATACATGTTGCATTCATCATACAATGATGATGTGATGTGGATATATTTTTGGTCAAAGTTGTGGTTCATGTTCGGTTTTGCCATAGACTATGTGTATTTCAAGGTCAAATATGTCAATTTAGAAAGTTTGATGACGTCTTAGTATATAATTTGAAAATATTGATTAATTTCTATAGTTATAGAGCCAGATACTTGCTTTTGTCGTATCGTTTACTGATTAATTGCAAACGTTCTTTAAATACGAATCTTGCATACACCTTTAAAAATCGCTCCTCAAAGAATTGTCTTTTGGGAACATACTATTGTGAAACTAATTTATTTCCCTTGCATTTATTTTCATCATTAAATCATTATGAATTAATAAAATATGACATTTGTTTTGCAGGGAAACATTTGATTGAAAATGGTCCCATTATTTGTTGCATTTTTGATAGCCGCTGCCCAGGCAAGTGGATATGGCGGCTATAACAGTGGCTATGGCAGTGGAGGTGCAGGTGGCGTAGTTACGGTTGTTGGAGGGGGTGGTGGTGGTGGAGGACACGGAGGGGGATATGGATCAGGCGGTTATGGAAATGGTGGCGGCTATGGATATGGTGGCGGCTTTGGTAGCGGCGGCAATGTCATGGTTGTTAGTGGAGGACATGGTGGTTATGGATCCAGTAGTAATATTGGTTATGGTAATCAAGGATACGGATCAAGCAGTGGATATGGATCAGTAAGCACGTACCTTCCAGTCGGATCAAAAGGTGGTAATTTGAATCTTGGAGGAGGATATGGAGGAGGATACGGAGGAGGATATGGAGGAGGATATGGCAACGGAGGTGGAAAAGGTGGAGTTGTTGTCGTAAGTGGTGGAGGACACGGCGGCAATGGTGGATATGGAGGTGGATATGGTGGTGGATATGGCAACGGAGGAGGATATGGAGGAGGATATGGAGGATATGGCAATGGAGGTGGAAAAGGTGGAGTTGTTGTCGTAAGTGGTGGAGGACACGGCGGTAATGGTGGATATGGAGGTGGATATGGTGGTGGATATGGCAACGGAGGAGGATATGGAGGAGGATATGGCAACGGAGGAGGATATGGCAACGGAGGTGGAAAAGGTGGATTTGTTGTTGTAAGTGGTGGAGGACACGGCGGCAATGGTGGATATGGAGGTGGATATGGCGGTGGATATGGTGGTGGATATGGAGGTGGATATGGTGGTGGATATGGAGGTGGTAGTTCAGGATATGGCAATGGTGGAAAGGGTGGCCAAGTTGTTGTTTTAGGAGGTAATGGAAACGGCGGTGGATATGGAGGTGGATACGGAGGAGGATATGGCGGTGGATCTGGAGGTGGATACGGAGGAGGATATGGCGGTGGAAACGGAGGTGGATACGGAGGGGGAAATGGTGGCGGACAGGTCGTTGTTTTATCTGGTGGAAATGGTGGATATGGCAATGGAGGAGGATATGGTGGATATGGAAACGGAGGAGGATATGGTGGATATGGCAACGGAGGAGGATATGGTGGATATGGAAACGGAGGAGGATATGGTGGATATGGCAACAGTGTTGTTGTCAGTGGTGGTGGAGGTGGTGGACATGGAGGAAAAGGTGGTTACAAGGCATATTAAACAGCTTCAGGTAATAATCTGTATTGTTCATTATCTTATACAACAAATAAAAAGGGATTGGGAGATACCCAGGGGACATTCAAAACACATAAGTGGCGTCATAGTAGGGGAAGTAGATCCTTCTCCACATGCGACGGTCGTCGTGTTACTCCTATAAAATACGTCGATGATTATTTAAGTGAAATAACAAATTTGCATGATATGCAATGATATCGTAAGAAGAATACATCTTTAAAAATTAAAATGTTGAATTGTTAAACGGAGCCCTTTGTTTAAAAATATGCCTTTAATAAAAAAGGATAGTCAATTCCTTTACGCTAAGCACAAACCACTAGTAATAACAGCTTACACTGTCTAACCCTGAGTCAAAACAATTAACATACATGACATTTTATAAACATATATAAAGAACTAACACATATACAACTACTTTTAAAATCATAGCAATGAAAAAATACATGTATCCGCGGTGGCGAGCCACAAACAATTAAAGATTCGCCGTATAGAACACTGATGGTAAATTGTTTTGTGTTTTCGGCAAAATAAATATATATTATTACATTCTTTTATTGAAACCAAAAGTTATTGTATCAAACTACAACAAAACATTTCAAATATTATGTTATATTATAGTATATCACTAATATGCAACCACAACAACTTCATTTAAACAACACACTGGTGATTTGTATTATGGTATTACTAGTGTGGTGTGCTTAGCGTAAAGGAATTGACTATCCTTTTAGATTAAAGGCATATTTTTAAACAAATGCTCCGATTAACAATTCAACATTTGAATTTTTAAAGATGTATTTTTCTTACGATATCATTGCATTTCATGGAACAAATAACTTTTATTTATTTATTTCTTCTATGTTTATGCTAATTTTTAATCATCTTATAAATTATCACTGTTTTTCATATAATAACCATAGTGTTATTATCAAAGTAAATGATATATAATATTTATGATTAAATAAAAAAGATTTATATAGTTCACCACCATCATGTACAAGAATGCCTTTAAATAGAAGTTAAATATAACTTAGTATTGTCAAAAGACCATCCTGATTATAAATGCTATCTTAAGACAGCTTTGATTTAGGAAAGGTCCTATGATAGTCCTAAAATCTTTTCTTAGGACATGTCTTTGAGTATTTTCGAAAACCAGGCCCTGGTTGTTGTTTGGTAAGATGCAATAAAACAAAGTTCCCCGTCTTAATGAATAGTCCAAATAAAATGTAGTTTTAAATCCAAATTTGTTAATTCATGTGAAAAACCCGATTATTTGCAATCCAAGCATGCGGAATACTCTCATTCTTCCGTAAAAACCAAATGTTTACTCAATAATTTACATTACTAATATATATTATTTATTTTTTATAATTATAAAGATACGCGAAAACAGTTGTTATTATTTTATTTTAGAAGCAGAGTACATGCATCAAACCGATGAAGATCTACACTCGCCCGCTCATTTTGTACATATATTTAATTCGTTACTGTCGTAATAAAAACATGTTCTTTGTTATTTTGCTGTTTTCTTGTTTACTGTATTTCTCTCTCTCTCTCTCTCTCTCTCTTTATTACCATATTTTATTTGCAATTATGCAAATATGACCAGACACAAGTTATTACTACTTAGATAGTCGTCTCCTATACATAAGTTTGTAATAATGAATAAATTTAAATCCATAAATGTAAGAAGAATAGATTTGTGCAATAGTTAGAAGAAAAAATAACGTACACGATGTCGCAAAACAATCACTTATCTTCTGACACTAACGTGTTTCACAAGGAAGAAAGAAAACAACTGCAGGTAAAAACGTTTGCTTATTTGAATAACCGCAAGACTTCTTTAACTTAACACATCTTTGGTTATGAGATTAATTTGTGTTTCCATCTAATAAAGTAACTATCTATGTATATTGATGGGTCAAAAGTAGTTATAAAATATTAATTCTATTTTGCACATATAATGAGCGTCCAAAGAAAAAGTCAATAATACATAAGATGTTTAATACCAATTGCTTAAAATATTGAACAGTACAATAGTACCCCCCCCCCACAAAAAAAAAGAATACAAAAAATACAACCCCCCCCCCCCCCCCCCCCAAAAAAAAAAAATTAATAAATAAATCAAGAATGTGTCCATAGTACACGGATGCCCTTCTCGCACTATCATTTTCTATGTTCAGTGGACCGTGAAATTGGGGTCAAAACTCTAATTTGGCATTAAAATTAGAAAGATCATATCATAGGGAACATGTGTACTAAGTTTTAAGTTGATTGGACTTCAACTTGACCAAAAACTTTAACCTGAAGCGGGACAGACGGACAAATGGACGAACGGACGGACGAACGGACGGACGAACGGACGCACAGACCGAAAAACATAGGGGCATACAAATAAAAAAAGACTAGACGTCGAATACATACAAACCATAACGAACAACTCATGGTCCAGACAGTCTGATTTGTATATGTGGTAGAGTTAAAACTGTCTTACAATGCATTTGTGCACTAACCTCCATTTTGCCTTCGTCATAACACGCAATAAAAAAAACCTGCACAGTCCAGCTGCATGTACGGACAGGAAAACTACTAACTTGAACAAAGAAATAAAAGAACTTATCCTAACAGGTTATTGATTGAACACTTTAAGTTTTTGTCGGAACTAACATTGATTTTCACCCTATCCTATAAGTATTTGCTTTATTAATAAGAAAGTTATTAGTGTTATTTGGCTTCTTGAAGTTGTAACAAAGTATACCATAGTACTGTGACAATCAATGTCTCTTCAGTGATGCTCGAGGCCAAAATATTTGAAAATCTAAAGCTTATTAAAAAATTTTGTAACAGCAAATTTTAATAACACAAAATCCGTATTTTCATGCCAGTACCGAAGTACTGGCTACTGGGCTGGTGATACCCTCGGGGACTATCAGTCCACCAGCAGAGGCATCGACCCAGTGGTAGTAATAACATAAACGGTACCAATTTTTCTGCACCAGATGCGCATTTCGACAATCAATGTCTCTTCAGTGATGCTCGAGGCCAAAATATTTGAAAATCTAAAGCTTATTAAAAACATGAAGAGCAATAAACCAAAAAGGACAAAAAGTATAGCCAAAGCTGGGCAAGGAATCAGAGCTTTGCATGAGGGAGATACATTCCTTAATTTTAAATAATTTCCAAAATTTTAACAGCAAATTTTGATAACACAAAATCCGTATTTTCATGCCAGTACCGAAGTACTGGCTACTGGGCTGGTGAAACCCTCGGGGACTATCAGTCCACCAGCAGAGGCATCGACCCAGTGGTAGTAATAACATAAACGGTACCAATTTTTCTGCACCAGATGCGCATTTCGACAATCAATGTCTCTTCAGTGATGCTCGAGGCCAAAATATTTGAAAATCTAAAGCTTATTAACAACATGAAGAGCAAATGATGCCCCGCAGATGCAAAGTGTTATTTTAAAATACACAAAGTTGAGCATGGGAGCACATAGGTCTATGGTTCACTGAAGGAGGAGTTATCCGGAAACGCTATGCACCGCTAAATGAAGTATATACTCCAAAGAATGACAAAGTTCAACTATCTCCCAAAAGAGCAAATTTTAATAAAAATCAAAACCCTGACCACATGCACACCTTTAATATATGTACAAACAGCCAGCAAAGTGAAAACGTCCTAGCATACAAACTATAGGAGGAGCCATGATATCCGGAAACGCTATGCACCTCTTATGCAAGTAAATACTCCAAAAAGTGACAAAGTTCAACTATCTCCCAAAAGAGCATATATTAATAAAAAGGAAAACCCTGACCACATGCACACCTTCAATATATGTACAAACAGCCAGCAAAGTATAACTTCCTAGCATTCAAACTGTAGAAGGAGTTACTAGTATCCGGAAACGCTTTGTACCTCTTATGCAAGTTTATACTCCAAAAATTACAAAGTTCAACTATCTCCCAAAAGAGCAAATATCAATAAAAATCAAAACCCTGACCACATGCACACCTTCAATATATGTACAAATAGCCAACAAAGTGAAAAATACCTAGCATTCAACCTGTAGGAGGAGTTATCTGGAATTACTATATACCCATAATGGGACGGACGGAAGGAAGAACAGACGGAAGGACGGACAGACAGACGGGCAGACAATTTTCAGTTGTAGGGGCATAAAAAGAAATCAAGATTGATATGTGATACTGGGTATCGGGTCCGTTCGCTCCCAGAACACATTCGCACCCTACACATTCGTCCTCTGGATTCCTTCGCACCTTATTTTTATTCAAGTACAGGTTTAATCAATAAGGAAAATAATTATTCGTGAATTTTCTAAATGAAAAATTGTTTTTTAGTGATTAGATGATTAATTCTTAAATGTTAATTATTTATGATAACTGTTAATTGGTACTTACAAAGCTAATATAGTATTATTGTTGTTTGTATCTTCCGCCATTATTTTATAAATCTTAGATGAGTGAATTTTGCCTTTCATCATCATGACAATACCTATTATTCATTTCGTCAAAAATAATTGAAACGTGTTTACGATTTTAGAATGTCACTTTTTTTTAAAACAATAAAAAAAAACCTTATTATCTTTATTTTATAGCAATATCCGGGACTCATTTCACAAAAAAATCTTACGAGAAACATTTTCGTAAGTCATGAACAGTTCTGTATAAGTTACATTTAGCATTTATATTTAAAATTTTAAAAGGTTACGAACATTTGGGGTGCTAACGTGTGGGGTGCGAACGTGAATGATTTTGGGCGAACGGACCCGGATTCATGGTACTGGAACTCATCTTTGTCAAGCACTCATCGTTAATATCTCTTAAAGATAACTATTCTCGAGTAAAAACAGCAGAAGAAAATTAAACTCGTCCAAGTAATTTTGAGGTCTTGAAAGTCCATTTTTTGCGTTAATGTCTTTCTACGAGTGCGGGTGGTACTATAATATAAGACTTCGTAGGTCCATATCATTTGCTTTCAACGATATGGACCTACGAAGTCTTATATTCTAGGACAGACTAAGAGTGCGAGATATAAAAAAGATGTTTATCTGGACTAGAAGAAAACAAGATTTTTTTTGCAGTTAAAACTTGTGATGAATTAAAAAAAGAGATATTTCAGACCTATATCACTCGTTGACATTCTTCAATCTTCATAGTCATTAACAGTCTGTCCGACTATGATGTAACTTGTTCATCTACTGTTGTTGGTCCAGCATGCTGTAGAAAATGATTTATAGAAATATTCGAAGCAGCTCAGGAAGGGATGCTGTCCTAATTCCGGAACAAATCGCCTGTATATAACAGTGGTTTGATTCCGCCAGTGTACTTTATCCGAAGGAAGAAAATTCCTAGTGTTTTATGTCCACCAACAAAAATGCACTAGGTTTTTTAATCCGGGTCTAGTGTAAAATATCCAACATTCGCCATAATATTCTGAAGAGGGTTTTCTTGAAGGGGAAATATATAAAAAATTAGGCTTGGTGTTTTGGGGGGATATTTGAATTAACTAAAACTTGCATAGGTAATTTATGTAAATCATTGACAAAATTAACTAGTGTTTGTTAACCCAGGAATGTTTACAATAATGTTTTTTTTTTAAACCAGGAATGATTACACTAGTGTTTTTGTGGAAGGAATGATAACACTAGTGATTTTATGCAGGTAACAATCCTGATAAAGCAAACATTCTAAGGAGGGTTTTCTTGAGAGGAAATAACAAAAAAATGAGGCTGAGCTTTTTCGGGAGATGTGCTATGAATAAAATTTCTATTTATTTCCTGGATAAAAAAGATAATGATTATGAATTTCACTAAAAATTAAAAGGAAAACATAAGTGAATTGTATTAGCTAGTCAAGTGTGAAAAAAGTTAGATTGTTATGTACATATGTTTTGGTTGCTTCGCATCACGGTGCGGAGCTATTAGTTTCAGTCGATATACACGCCATCTTGAAATAATTACTTATCACATAAAGATTCTGATTGGTTGCTTTATGATTCGGCTGAGATACAGCAACAGCTATTGGCTTAAATGAGATAAAGAATTACAGACTTTTCTCGTCTCAGGATAAGACATCAAATGCCGGAAAATTAACTATGTGTATTTCAGTTCCGATCAAGTGTTATTAATTCATGTTCGTTTTATTATGGAAATATTGCACACTGAAATATCAATGTTTTTAACACCTGTTTATTTGCTTCGTTAATCTGTCAAATGCACGATTTGTTTAGCTAAACAATGTTCCTATACAATGTTTACAAAAATGCATATATTGGTTTACTTTTATAAATTTTGACTTGGATGGAGAGTTGTCTCATTGGCACTCATACCACATCTTCTTATATCTATTATCTGTATTTTATAACTTCTGCCAATCTGGGCACACCTCCAGATAGGCACACCTCGAATCGTGTTTTGTAAATGTTTTAAATTTCAACAAGTAAATCGAATTTTTTTTTAAAAAGCATGGGTGTATAACGTGCAACACTGAACAG